CAAAGGTAATAAACATGAGGTAAATTATAACAAATGGTTACGGTAAACCAACGTCGTTGTGTTCTTGTTCATCACCGGTAATTGAGAAGGAAAGGCGCTCTGAAAAGCAAACGGGAGAGAGGGTCGTTATTGCAACGATTCAACGGTGGACTCGCGCCAATCAATTTTGATTCTTCTCCACAACACACCCAATTGAATCAGGCAGCGTCCGCGTTGTCACACCATGGCCGCCCTGAGTCGGCACCTCCAGTTCAACTGCTACTTCCCCAGTCGTTTCGTTCGGCCCCCGACAGATTGGTCAGTTTTACTCCGGAATGGCTTAAATCGATTGAAATGTACTATCATGGGTTGACTGGCATGGTTGTTGGGATCTTTGATAACACATGTTACATCCGATATCACCCGCTGTATTATGTACGGCCCTGTCCCCCCATGGTGTAGCTTAACCGGAACTCCTGCCGTTGGTACCTGGTGCAATTAAACTTGGTCGCCAGCCTTCAAAGGAGCGCCGAAAACTTTCTTGTCGTAATAGCCTTTCCATCGTCGATGGGTGTTCCCAAGATGAAGACGTGTTGCTTAATGTGTTTGATGAAGCGAATCAAGGAGTTTGCTAACATACTCTATCACCGATGAATGTGGCTATTGCGGACTGGGGAGTCGACTGTCAGAGGGTAATCGGACTTCTCTTCCGGTTCACATAAAAAATGATGTTTCACCAGTAGAAGCGTTAACTGTGCTCCGATATGCCAGCAAGTATGTTGGTAACATAGAGTCCCACTTACTTACATTTTGGTCCACAAAGACCTTCGGTGTCGATTTCAGCGACCGCTTTGTACGCCCAACTTGTCCGTTGCCTTGCGGTGGTAAGCGGTCTTTAGCGTCTTGTCTATACCGAACACACCACAAAGTTCCTGTATCAACTAACATGAGCCCGTATCAGAGTGTGGCTGCCCCGGTGCTCCCCAGTGACACACCCAGTGATCCACCAACGCCGTTGTTACGGTGACTGTATCGGCTTGTACGATGGGAACTGCTTCGCAACACGTAGTGAGATAGTCGACCATGTCCAAAAGGTACCGATGCCAAAGTGATGTTTCTGGTAGGGGACCAACAAGACCTACTCCCGCAGGCTCGTTCGGGCGGCCTGCATTCATAGGCTGCAATGGTGCTCTCCGGGTGAGGGTCGGGTTCTTTAATGTGGCGCATGTCTCACACATCTGGCAAAAGTTAGTGACGTCTCTCGGTTGATGTGGCCACCAAAACCGTCGACGTGCTGCCGCTTCATTTAGTTGATTCCAGCAAGACCCAGCTGCTCGTGCAGTTCAGATAACACTTCGGAAACTAATGATCGCGGAACTACGATTCTCCAGAAATAGTTTGGGCCAAAAGCAAACACTAGCACACCTTCCTCGATAGAGAGCTTGTCCCACATCGCCCATAAGCATCCAGCTTCGTAACTTTTTCCCTCCATTTCCTTTGCGGTAGGTTTGTCGCTCCCCAATCGTCGTTTGTCACAGATCGGTGGCACGTCTGGGTCCGCTGCCTGCGCCTCCTGCCAACGACCGTACTCCAGAACTTTGAAGGTGTACTACAAGACGGGCAGTCTCCATGAGCACGAGTAGGACGTCTGGAGAGAGGGTCAGCTTTGGCATGCTGTGCACCAGGTCGGTGCCGGCGCTCAAAATCACACTCCTCAATTTGTTCCTGACATCTGGCGATCTGTCCCTCGGGATCTCTGAAATCCTGTAACCATCGAAGTGACTAAAGCTCTGTTCATACCAGAAACTTCCTTCCCAATAGGTAGTGTCGGTTTTGTTTTATAAGGAATACTAGGGCTAGATGTTTCTTCCTGGTTGTGCAGTAGTTCCATTCTCTTGCACTGAAACTCCTACTGCTGTAAGGCACCACTTGTTCTCTTCCGTCCTGCCCTTTCTGCGAAAAGACAGGTCAAATCGCCTGATCGCTCGCGTCCGTGTCTCGAATAAACTCCCCGGCATTTGGTGGCAGGTCGGGGAAAACCAACACCGGAGCAGCACAGAGGGATTCTCGCAACCGAGCGATGGAATTTCGACATTTGACGGTCCATTCGAAGGTTTGACCTTTCTGTAACAAAGTATTCAAAGGCGCAGCGATCTCTGCGAACCCTTTCACGAATCGCTGATAGTATGAGGCTAACCCTAGTAACTGCGCTGTTCATCAGTATTGGCAGGGGCTGGCCATAATCTCACTTTCTTCGTCTTACGAGGGTCAGTTCGAACCCCCATCCCTGAAATGATGTGCCCAAGATACGTTACCTCTGTCTGTAGTAACTGGCGCTTTGTTGGATGGAGTTTAAGGCCCATATTTACTAGGCGCGTTAGCACCGCCAAGTTGTTTAGGTGCTCCTCTTTTGTTTTTTTCGTGTACAATGAAATCTTCCAGGTAAAGGAGACACTTGTGGGGCATCAAGTCGTGTAACACTATTTCCATCAGGCGTTGTAATGTCGCAGGGGCGTTAGAGAGGCCAAAAGGCATGGTCTGGAACTCGTAAAAGCCTGATGTCACTACATACGCCGTTTTTTGCTCTGTCGCTTTCCTCAACTTCTACTTGCCAGTAGCCGGAAGCCAAATCGAGCGTACGGAAATAAACTGATCCTTCCAGTGCGTCAAATAGATCATCGATCTATTCTATTCGAGTAACCTCACTTAATCGGCTATAGTGGACACAAAGGCGAAAACCATCCTTCTTCTTCATTAGAACAACCGGGGCTGCCCAAGATGAAGTAGAGGGCCGTATTACCTTCTTTTCCAGCATCTCAACTATGAGCTTTTGCAATTCAGCCTGCCAATGTAATGGTATGCGTCTTGCGGGAAGTTTAATCGGGATGTAATCACCGGGGTCAATACAGCGTTTCGCGAGATTGGTTCGACCAAAGTCGGTAATTCGCCAGGCAAATGCATCAGAGTGGCTGCGCAACACGTCTTTGAACCGCTTCAGTTTCTGCTCATCCGCGACTCGGTCGAGTGAGCGAACAAAGGCGTTATTGTATTTCTCACTGTCGAAGTTGTCCCCATAGGTTGTAGAAGCTTCCAAAACACCACTTTCCCTGGGTCTTAACTGTACTGTACAGCTATCATTGATTAGTTGGCACCTCTCCAGATCCATTCGACACTTCAACCGGGGCAACAGATCCATCCCAACAATAACAGCAAACGGAATTTTGTCCGCATCAGTAAACGCCTGGGTGAAGCTCTGTTTCGCGACGTCAACGCTTGCGGTTAGGGATCCTCGAACGGACAGTAATCCTCCGTTGACGACAGTTAGTCGGCAGCGCCAAGGCGCGCATACGCGATCAGCTAGCTGGTTAGTCAAGTTAGATCTGCTTGGGCTCTTACATGCGCCTGTGCCGATGCGACCTATTAACGCAACACCTGCGATCTGTAATTCTATTGTTAATGCTGGTTGTGTGGTCGATTCACAAACACTGGCTGGTACAAAGTGTGAATGCAATCGGTGACATTCACCTGGGCGTCCGTTTTTGAAGCGAGCCAACCCACGGTTCGGTAGTTGTCGGCGGGGCCACAGAGAACCAGGTTGCGTTGGCCGCCGTGAGCCTGAATACCTTTGACTATAGTAAGGATGCCACGTAAACCGTACCGTTGACTCAAGCCTGAAGCGTCCGGTTCCCCTCAACGCGAAACCCCGGAAGTCGGCGTAGCCATGGCCCTGTCGATCTGCTCCAGTTGTTCACCAACCCGTAAGGCTGCTTCCAACTGCTCGACGGGTGCAGAAGGAATATTCTTTAAATAGATGGTGTTTGGATTCCTTCTAGAAGTTGCCCTAGTATTAGTTTGTCACGCTTGCTTGATGACTCGCGCTCGTATGCGATGTCGGCCATCTTTCGAAGTTCGCGCACGTACGTCCCAATGCTCTCTCCGGGCCACTGGTATCGGGAGTGGAATACTCTGCGTAAGGGTGCAGGTAAAGCAGGAGGGTCCAGTAGGCGGCGCAAGGCAGAGAACGTCTCAGACGTGACTTCTTTTTTTAGGATTTTACTATCAGCAACGATATCAAAAGTGTCCCCTGACAGCAGGCCGGCGAGCACGCCTGAATGTTGCTTGAATGGAAACTGACGGAGGTAAAGCTGGACTTGCTTCTCCCATCTGGAGTACGTCATCCCGGGAGTGTAACGTTCCGGAGGATGGATTGCATGCATGCAGACTGACGAACTCGAGCCTGCTGACAATCATTCCAAAGCACGGGTCAAAACATCCAGTGAAGCGGAAAGTCTGGTCGTGGGGACAATGACACAAGAAGAGCTTTCGTCATCAGGCTTGTTCATTTCCGGAATTATTATCATTAGACTAATGATGGTGGACTCCTGCTTCTTGTGACTTGGCAGGGTCGCCACTTTGTAACGCTCAAGCACGGAAGAACTCCAAAGGTTGAGAACGAAGTTCAAGTACACAACACGTTGCTTCTACAAAAGACAATAACCATGGGGTAAATTGGAACAAAGCAAGCTACAGTTAACCAATGTCGTTGTGTCCTTGTTCTCCTCCGGTAACTGAGCAGGAAAGGCGCTCTGAAATGCAACGGGGAGAGAGTGCCGTTATTGCAATTATTCAACTTTGGACGCGCGCCAAAACAGTTTCGATTCTTCTCTACACCACTTCCCATTTGTTGTTGGTTATGGAATAGGCTAACACAATAGGTTGCGCTAAACTGTAGTGCAGTTTAGTTATTGCGGGTTAGAAATCTGTTCGGCGTAGATATAATGCCTTACACGATAGTGGAGCAAATCGTGTTGATTCCCAAGATAACTCAAATCCGGACCTAAGCTACGGATCTGCAGTCATAGTCAGTAACACAAAGCACTTTGGATTCTGGGTTATGGTTTACGAATCAGAAGAACCTAACTGTTACTAACTGCAGTTCTTGCGCACCCGCGAACCATACTTTTCGACTAGGTTGCCGTCTTACGAGACGTGAGAGGCACGATCCGGTTTGCGTGACCTTGATGTCTGACGACTGGGAGACGGATCCAGATTTCGTGGTGGGTGCTTTAACGCTGATTCTGGATTTTTAAGAATGATGTGTCTGAAAGAGAGCAACGTTGGGGTTCTAAAACGGTTGCTGGATCAGGCAGGCAACCCTCGATTGAGTGAGTTCTTTTACACCTTAGGAGTACTTTCCATTTACGTATTTGTTTTTTCAGTATTTGCTTCTATGGTCACAGTTGGTTTCGTATTAAAATTTCTGTACATCTCTCTAACATTAGCACGGAAACTCGATATTTTAGCATGTTTCGATTTTTGGTCAGGTCAGGTCACGTTCCCAGAGTCGCATAGGGTTCCGCCTAGCGAGCGTTCCGCTTCTTGCACTGAAAACTAACCAAGGGCTTCCATTAGTTAGTCTTTCAATTGCATTTTTCCTGCAAATAAAATCTAGCAAAAAGAACTGTCTTATACTTTCCTCACTCGAGTTCTCGGCAACGAAGTCAATGAGATTACAACATTCCTGGAAAATGTTCCAACCAGCATCCGTCTAGACCTCTCTTGATGGAAGCTTATCCTAAATGCCAACGCGGTTCGCACAGTATTTCTGCCTGTTATGATACCGTTTCAACATTAAGAAAGGGGCCTCGAGCTTTTCAAACTACCAGAGGCTCAGGAACCTATGTGCTATGAAAAAGCGGGAGTAGAGGCGACAGTATGAGCATATTATAGCGCTTTAGTCGTGCGCTATATACACGGTACGAGACTAACGACCAACCGTGAGCGTACGGGTGTGTGCACGATAATAGCTAGGGTAAATATTGAACGGGAGAAGAGCTAGGTAAAGCTTACAATAGGGAGAATGTAGTTGGGCAGTCGAGTCTCGCACACCAAATGCAGATATCATGTGTTTCAAACAAACGGGAACAAAGTTCCGACAATCAAATCGCTTAATTCCCCAATACATAATAATTTTAGTACATTTCTGAATAATTTGCAGTCATACGTGGGAGTCTCCAGGTCTCTACAATAGTCCTGCAGAACATTATATGCCCAGACCTAAAGGACTACCCTTATTTTTATGAAAAAGCCACTCGGCTCTAGCATAACCTCTATCCAGAACAACAGATTCCGTTCTCTATGAAGACAGCGAGAAAGCGGGTCTCCTGGCCCGGCATTACTCATCCGTTCACGCACTGGAGGACCTCTCAACCACTTCGATGCTTTAGATCTCGACCGTCTTGAGGTCGTCAAATTCAACAGAAACCTGCGAAAATGTTACTAACTTTTCACCTAACCCCAACGGGCTTCATTCCTCTTTCTCAAGGCATTGGCAGTTTAAATTGCCACCCCCATCTGTCAGCTTTTTCAGCTCTTTTTAGCGTCTGGGCATCTGCCGGCCGACTGGAATTGCGATGCACGAAAGTGGAAATCCTCTTGACCCCACAGACTATCGCCCAGTCTGTGACATCGATAATTCCCGAGATCTTGGAGATTATCAAATGCGCTCTGCAGAAGCCATGTTCTGACCTAACCATCATCTCGACTACAAGGCACGTCTTTAAGAAAAAGTGCTTCTGCACTATTGACCACGAGAGAAAGATGGGCAATATCAATAGATGCCGGCCAACGCCTAAGTGTTGTCTTCCTTGACTGATAAGGTCCCACATCAACGGTTTCTATGCGAGCTTATACTCTTGGATCGCCGACTTTTCGGGAAACAAAACCATACTGGTGCGAGTGAATGAAACCGTTTTTCAACAAGTGTTAAGGACCAGCGGAATCCCGTAAGGATGTCTTCCCACTCACTTTTTAATCTATTCATCAACGACCTTCCCGAAACGCTTCAAACTGAATGCTTGTTTAATGCTGATGACCTAAAGCTTTGGTTGGAGACCTCGGACGTCGATACCACAGAATCTACAGGCCAAGCTACATCTACTACACGACTAGTCCACAAAGTGTGGTTTACCTATCGACTTTGCCAAATGTTGTGTCCTGATTGGTGCGTCTGATCAGTTTGGCACCTACTATCTTCAAGAATGCCACCCTGGAGTAAGACATAGGTGTATTAATTGCTTTTTACCTACAAGCCACCCAGGACACTATAGAGTAGCTGCTGATAACAGGATGTGGGGTGACAAGATCATTCTCGCGGATGACATCAAAGATCTGCAGGTTACTATTCACCTCTCACGTATGACCTGTTCTTAAGTACGATCTACAGGCTACGCCTCCGCTCTCAAAGCTAAGATGCACCCTAATAGAAATGGTCCGGAAACGAGGCTTAAAATTTGTATTCGGAATTCGGGATTTCTCATACCTTTGATTCCAAGCTGAATCTCTTCTCACTGGACTACCATCGCCGCCGTGGAGACCTCTTTACCAAGCACATACCAAGAGACGAACTTAGAAATGAACTGCGGCCATTTTTCCAACTAAACATAGGAGGCCCAACACGGGGTCACGATTGGCAAGCATTTAAACCGAGTCCGCTCCGCCGTCGCCATTTCTACTCGAGCGGTAAACGACCTTAACGGATTTCGAAAAACCGTCGTCAGCACATAGACCGCGGCTTTTGTATCCCCACCTGAGCAAGATGTCGACAGCATTGTTCCTCTGCGGCTTCCCTGGTTGCTTGAGGACCCTTTGGTCCCTGAGACACTTGCTTCTCGTGTTGATGTGGAGGCGACTTGGTTAACATTGCACTTCCCTTCTGCCCTTTACAACTCAATAACAGTATCTAGCCGGGACCTCCGATGCTTGAGCTTATGATGATGACCTCTCATGTGTTCTGATGTAGATGGCTCAAACAGGTAAGTAGGCCTGATACCACGGAGACCTTTGATAATCCTAAACAACTCTATCAAAACTCCTTTCAATCCATGCCTTTCCATGGAAAACAAACCCAAGCTCTTTAGACATTCATCCTACGGCTTCTCGCGCTGGCCCTCACTCATTCTAGTTGCCAGCTTCTGAACATTCTCTATACAAATAATATCATTCCCGATATACGGCGCCCATGCTTGGACGCTGTTATAAGTGGGGTCTTACCACCGCTCCATATAATGGGAGAAATACCTCCGATCTAGTGTTACATAAGGTCCTCCTGAGTCGGAAATGTTCTTGCCACGCATTGTTGGCAGCATGCTGACATTGTGTTGAGGGTTTGAAGCTATTCGTAACAATGACACCTAGGTCTCGTGTTTCATCAACTGGCTGCAATGTCAGGGGTCCACTAGAAGTATACACTAAACCTATCGTTATTGGCGGTCAGCAGCTGGCATTTATTTGCGTTAATGAGCAAATCCCATACTACGGATCATTCTCCTACAGTTCAGATATCTTTGGACAACGTCTCCCTATTGCTCCTGCTAACCAGTTTCAAATCATAGGCAAAGATCTAACACGAGTCCTCAATGTGGCATACTCACGACCGATGTACTGAACCCGTCCTATTCGTTGCCTGCATCTGCTGGCGTGTCTCAGTAACCCGCTCAACCACTCATCCATTAACCTAATTTAGAGTACTGGATCGATGCGTGGTACAACATGTCGGTTAAAATACGGTTTTGCCTACCGTTTGCCTGACGTTTTTCGCTTTGCGATATTTCGGCTACGATCAGTCACTAAGCGTTAGTTCCGCAGTTGCTAAACTATGACAGTTGGCGATGGAGGTTAAGCTTGGAATTATTTACTATGAGCCACCTTACCCCTCCTGATCCCTTGGCCAACAAGCAGCACTTGTCCGCACACTAGAGACCCTATCGATCGATATTGGCTGATTATCAGAAACCCGCCTGCAAGGTTCGAGCTCCGTGCTTACCCTGAGATCCCCCACATGCGATACTAGCGGCACATTCTCATTGCGCCTATCTGGCGATGATGCAGCTTCAAATGCCGGTCAAGCTGGCGTCGGTATTCTTTTGAGTCCCCGGGCTGAAGCTGCCCTGCTTGATTGGATCCCAGTAGACAGTAGGATGTGCGTCGTTAGATTAGCTGGTTCGTTCTGTGCTACGAAGTCGCGCGGGGACAAACTGTGCCTTTGTCATTGCGGCCTATGCCCCTACATACTGTAGCACTGATTCGGTAAAAGATGCTTTCTATCAGCAGCTTCACGATTTCCTTCTTTACAGAAGAAATACGGGTATTGTGGTGTTGGCTGGCGATCTAAATGCCCAAGTCGGAAAATTGTCCTCTGATGAGCTTCATCTGGGCGGCCAACCTGGTGTAGGCTCTCCTAATGATAATGGTGTGAGATTGCTCATCATCATCATCATTATACACGTTAGCCAGAGGTGGGGAACACCTCAGCTACTGTGCCGCAATACGCAGTAAAAAGGAGGGAAAAAAGCAACTGGTGCAAGCCGGCTGAGCTACCGATAACGGATGGGCATCGTTCTGGTAAGCTACCAGCCAGCCACTGTGCATCACAAAAATTACTATGCAAAATTATAAGGGTAAATAATGAGATCATGGTTGCAGGGAAAGGCTAAGAGGGATGGGTTGGGACAAAGAAACTCACAACACGAACGCCACTGAGCTCGGCTCCTTGCCATGTCAGCAAGTGTGTCCAACCAAACATGTCCATCGTCTTTTGGACCCCAACCAGGGAGTCGGGACGCTCCAACCGAGGCCAGCTCAGAAGTGAGGGCCTTCATTCCTCTGGACCAAGTCATCGCTTGGCCACCCCTCCTCTTCTTCCATCCACACCCCCGGCGCGCAAACAACACACGTCGCGGGAGTCGGTAGGCTGGCATGCGTAACACGTGGCCGAGCCATCGGAGCCTGGTGCGTGAAATAACGGTGCTGAGCGATTCAGTTCCTTTTTCTTTGCCGTAAACAAGGCGTCGAACACGTTCGTTTCTCACGCGCTGTTCCCACCAGATTTGAGCTAAATTGCGAAGCCACCGGTGGTCGAACGTAACTAGCCACTTCAGGTCCGTTGCTTTAAGGGGCCAGGTTTGGAAACCGTACATTAGGGTCGAAGGTACCGCTGCAATGTACACTCTGCCCTTCAGGGCGAGAGTGATGTCGCGCCGCCGCCATAAGTGGCGAAGGTTAGCAAAAGCGCTCCGAGCTTTTGCTATGCGATTAGTGATCTCATCTTCAATCCCATGGGCGCTGATACAACTTCCCAGGTAGTAGAATTTTTGAATGACTTCTA